TTCAGTAATGTGCTTGTTTTTGAAAAGTTAGGTATCCTTTCAGAAGATGTCTCTCTCTTTGCAGGATCTCCTCTCCCCCAGGGGCCATTGGAGACAATGACACTTTTCTCTACAGTAATTTACTGTTGCCCGTATTCAAAGCAAGTGATGACTCCAATGACTACCTCATTCAGATCAAAACAAGGTGCTAGGGAATATAAACTAATGCCCACTTAAAATATGAACAGTGAGGTCTTTTGTCTGCCTAGCAATTTCTAACTAAACTATGGCAGAACACATGTAATAATATGCTTGCTAACAGCCCTAAATTAGAAATTCATTTTGATCTCACTGCTTTGAAAATGCATGCATTCTCTGAGTGGAAAGAAAATTGCTAGCATCAAGCTGCAATGTATTCTCCTCGTGTTGGAGAGCAAAGACTCCCTGAGAAAGAAAGGATTCTGAACTGAAAAATTCTCCTGTAAACATGCTAATAATACAACTGCTAGCAAAGACTGGTGGGTTCTGTTTGTCAAAATCTTTATGTATTGAATAATTTTAGCAGGATGTATTAGACTGTCTAAAACCACTCATGACCAAAACAAAAGATAGGTCTAAAATCTATGGGTTTATAGAGTACAACTTCCTGAAAAATGTCACATAAACTATATAACCATCTGAGTATAAACTAGAATGTATCATGATCAAAGCATCACCTTTTATGTGTGTGATGCATTCACAACCTTCCATTAGAGACCTCATTTGTTATTCTGTTAGTCTGGACCAGAGTGTGTCCTAAGGGGAAAGAAGGACCTGGGAAGCTTCATTGCAGGCCTGGACATCTCACTGCTTTGTCTGCACCTCACGAGTATTATTCCATTGAAATTATTAGTAAAGGTTGATACTGAGGAAAATCTCTGGGAATGCGTGTGAGTCAAATTTAACAAGGAATCCTTTGTGTTACCGTCTTTCTATTTATTTATTTATTTTTATTGTTGAAAATATTACAGATTTCCCCCTTTTTGCCCCATTGACCCACTCCTCCCATCCCCCACCTAGTGTCCGTGTCAATTGGTTGTGCAATTATGCATATAAGTTCTTTGGTTTATGTCTTCCCTCCCCTCCCAACCCCCATCCCTCTGAGGTTTATTAGCTTTTTCCCTACTTCCATGATTCCAGCTCTCTTTTGGTCGACAGCTTATTTTGTGTATTATGTTCCACAAATAAGTGAGATCACGTGATACTTGTCTGGCTTATTTCGCTTAGCATGATACTCTCGAGGTCCCTCCATGTCATCTCAAAGGGTAAGAGAACTCTGTTTCTTACAGCTGCATAGTATTCTATTGTGTATATGTACCACAGCTTTTTTATCCACTCATGTACTGATGGACACTTGGGCTGTTTCCAGATCTTAGCTATTATAAATAGTGTTACTATAAACATAGGGATGCATGTGTTCTTCCTGATTGGTGTTTTAGGCTTCTTAGGACATAGTCCAAAAAGTGGGATCACTGGGTCAAATGGCAGTTTCATTTTTAATTTTTTGAGGAACACCATATTGTTTTCCACAGTGGCTGCACCAGTCTGCATTCCAACCAGTAGTGTGCTAGAGTTCCCTTTTATCCACACCCTCGCCAGCATTTGTTGTTTGATGATTTATTGATGGCAGCCATTCTGGCAGGTGTGAGGTGATATCTCATAATTGTTTTAATTTGCATCTCTCTGATGATTAATGATGTTGAGCATTTTTTCATATGTCTCCTGGCCATTTGTATGTCCTGTTTAGAGAAGTGTCTTTTCAGGTCCTCTCTCCATCTTTTAATTGAATTGTCTTCCTATTGTTGAGTTGTATGAGTACTCTTTATATTTTGGACATTAACACCATCAGACAACATTGTTTCTTGCAATATACAGTAATCCTTGTAAACCTTCAAGGAAGAAGTAATAATAATTAGTAAATTAAAGAACATACTGGATTCTTGTAGTTAGGTAGAAAAGACTTTCTGAAACTTGGTTTGGTTAGACAAAAGAAGTACAAGATTCACTTTGGCTGGAAATAAAAATTTTAAAAACCTCTCTATACTTTTATAGAAAAGACTGATAAAAGTAGAAAACTCAGAATGAGAATCAGCAGTCTTTTCAGGCCAACCAGGGTCAGGATAGTAAGAGAAAGAATTATTGATTTTCAAAATAAATCCTTCTGTATTATGGACTTTTAAAACATATGCATGTTTTCCTTTGGCAGAAATAAATAAACAATTATGTAAAAATTAAAATTAAATATGCAAGAAGTTATAATTTATAACATATTTTAGATTTCACCTGTTTTGATATATGGTTTTTATGTTCTGCATCTATTATCATATAAGTTAATTTTATTTCTCTTGTATCTCACTTTATTCAAGAGCAAATGGTTTTAGTTTGATGGTCATATCATCCATATACCTTAAGATATAAATGAAGGGGTTTCATTATTCTTCATTGGCCCACTCCAAGGTAAAATAGTGAAGTCAAGTCATATGCACTTCAATTGTATTTTCAGTGTTTGACATATAGAATTAACTGCAAGATAAGACAATCAATCCAAGATTCTTAAAATATATATAGAACATTATCATAAAAGTGAGTTTTACAATGTGTGACACTTGATATTTAGGGAATATGTTTTTGGAATAATCAAGAAAAAAAAAGGACAAGTGAGTGACTCCTGTACTGAGAAACATAAACTGAACAAAAGTGACCAAGGCACAGAGTTTCTCTTGGGAAAATCTGGAAGCAATCACGGTGTGAACCATAGTTTCAAAGCAAGAGGTTCAAGTTAAGTTTAATAAAATCAGAAAATTTAAAAATATTTTTCTTTCTATTTAGCGTAGAGACATAAATTGAATTATTACCAATATGAATAGTTTAACATTTATTTATATATTTGTTACAATGAGATAAATACACTTTGATGTGTTTTACTGCCTTCTAGTGGCAGAATAATAACATGATCCGTCAAAATGTTAAGAACTTCTGTTTTTCGTCATGTATTGAGGTTTTACTGGAAAAACAGTTAAGTAAGCTGTTTCCTACAAATATAATGGTTTTGATTTTATTACTTTCCCCATTCCTTTTACTCTACAGGATAATGAAATAGAGATGGTGTGTGTGTGTGTGCACGCGCGTGCGTGTGGTGTGTGTACACACACACCAGCTTACAAATGAGCAGAAGTTAAAATTGTTATGGCAGCAGAGCACTTTCATCCTTTGAGCCTATTGGGGCAATCTGGATAGAGATAAATTATTACAGTTTCCTTTGTTCTTGTCTCAAATTTCATACTCTGAGAACTTACTGGTAGTATAATTCTATTAAACATGAATTGCTTGCTCAGCCCTTAGTTTAAACTCAGGAAAAGCTGAGGAGCAATTGAACTATGACACACTTAAATTATTGCAGAAGGCAGAACCATCCTCCCAGGACTGGTTGCTGAGTGTCTGACCCAGATGATCGGGAGTTCCTAAAGCCCTGCTTGGGAACAGAGTCAGACAGAAGAAATGAATCCTTTCCTTGTAGCCCGGATGACACAAGATTTGTTTATTTACTTTTGACTGTGCAACGCTGGGCATCTGGCATTTTAAATGAAGTGAATGTATGCCATCGGACTCAGCCATTTATCCTCATGCTGCCAAGTTATAGCAAGAGAATAATCTCATGACTCATTTCTCTCTCTCTCATCTTTTCTTTATTATTATTTTTTTCATATTCAGTTAGGAGTATAAATCACCACCAAACTGCACGTATGTCAGGAGAGGTCAGAACTTGGATGTTTTAAGCCACACATCCTTCCTAAGTAATCAGAGATTCCCTCTCAAGACATCTTTGTGGAGATTGTCCTATAGTTTGCATAGCCAGTCAGCACAGGTTTGAATGTACCCATAGCAAGACCTTCTTAAAAAGATGGACTAATTTTTATTTTTATACCTTTAATATGGTTCCACATGTTAATTCAGAGACAGAAAAAGCTAATTAGTTTAAACCAAATGATAGAGATGAGTTAAAATTAGCATCATTCAACTTTGTTGAATAAAGCATTGGGAAAGAATGAAATGTTACTGTGTATTGAATGAAGCTAGATGTTAGAATTACGATCACCTATTTTATCTCTAATTACCTAAAGTATAAAACATGAGCCTATTAAGTTTATTTAAATGATACAACAAATGGTATGAATATTGAATACATATACTTTATGATTTAGACCATTTCATTTTCATAGAAACACAGATGTCTATTGCTAAATGTTTAATAATGACCTAATTTTATTATAAATTTACCCAAGTGTTTTATAACCTTTTTCCAAAAACTTCAATTTTATGCTATTTATGTATTTTCTTAAGGCAATTGTGTCAGTTTTACAGTATTTTAGGGTAACAGTAGTAACCAGATAATTTGTTTAAAAGTCCATTCAATGTCAATCAAATTAAAAGTGTTCATCTTAATTTCGAAGTACTTTTCAAAATCCCCTAAAGGGGATACTTGGTTTGAGAAAAAATTGATTCATCTCTACTCTGTAACTGCAATGCCCTGGGACTCTGACAATCACAGAGTCCCCAGCTCTCAGTTACAATTTTTGCATCATTAGAAAGGAGTTAATACTTGAATTTGTCCCCGATCTTCTCTGGAACAGAACATAGTCATAGCAGGGAGATACAACTTCAGAAAAGACTCATATTAAAATTGAAGTTTGAGCAAGACTGTGTAAGGTAAATAGGGCTTGGAAATGCCGAACTGTGGTTACTGTAGAGTGAGAAATGGATAACTGACCTGCCTCATATCAAAATTTATTTAAGCCCTGGCCTGTTTGGCTCAGCAGTTAGAGCGTCGGCCTGCAGACCAATGAGTCACAGGTTCAATTCCAGTCAAGGGCATGTACCTTGGTTACAGTTCGTCCCCGGCCCTGGTTGGGTCAGGCAGGAGGCAAAAGCTTGACTGGAGCTGGAAAGTTGGCTTGCAAGAGAGGCTCATTACATAGCTGCTAGAAATTGCCTTTATTTCTTTTCTTATTGAACTTATTGGAGTGACATTGGTTCACAGAACCATACAGGTTTCAAGTGTACAACTCAACAAAACATCATGGCCAGTTTTCATAACAGGCTTCAGCTCCTTGTCACATGGTCCTTTCAACAGGGCTGCTTGAGATATAATGGCTAGCTTTCCCATATCAAGTGATCTGAAAAAGAGAAGAGGGAGAAGCCACACTATTTTTTATGAACTAAACTCAGAAGTGGCATACTGTCATTTCCAGTGTATTTCACTGGTCACACAGACAAACCCTGGGACAATGTGGAAGGAAATTATACAAAGGTATGTGAACTTGAAAGCGGGGAACATTGGTGAACATCTTGCATTTGGCTATAACACATACTTTAAGGATTTTCACCTTTATAATAAACAGAGACTGATAATACAAGACATAACTGTTTTAGTGTTGTAAAATTTATAAGTACATTTACAACTGTTATTATGTGACCTAAAAAAGGATAAGGCAACATAGAGAATAGGGTTGGTGCCTATACAATCTCATTTTACACACTTTGGCAGGGGTTGGCAAACTATGGCCTGTGGAGCAAATTTGTCCCGCCACTTACTTTTCTAAATAAAATTCCCTTGTAACAACAGCTAAACCATTCATTTACATATTATCTATATTTTCTTTTGCAATGCAGTGGCAGAGTTGAGTAGTTTCAACAGAGAATTGCCCACAAAGTTAAAAACATTAACTATTCTTTATAAAATGTTGCAATCCATGCATTAAGATGTAAAAAGAACAGATTCAGATGGTTTGGTGTGGCTTGGTGGATTGAGCATCATTCCATGGACTGAGAGGTCCCAGTTTGATTCCCAATCAGAACACATGCCTGAGTTGTGGGCTCTATCTCCAGTAGGGGGCATGCAGGAGGCAGCCAATTGATGGCTCTCTCTCACATCAATGGTTCTTCTATCTTTCTCTCCCTTCCTATCTCTAAAAAAAAATCAATAAAAGCATATTTTTTGAAATAGAGAAAAGAGTCATAACTCCAAAAGTACATAAATGTGTTTTTTATTAAAAATTTTTTTTCTTTATTGATTTTAGAGAGAGAGGAAGGAAGTGGGAGAGAGAGAAAAACATCAATGAGAGAGAATATCAATTGGCTGTCTCCTGCATGCTCCCCACTGGGGATCGGGCCCACAACCTGGGCTTGTGCCCTGATTCGAAAGCAAACTGGCAGGCTCTTGGTACATGGGTCGATGCTCAACCACTGAGCCATACTGCCAGGGCCCAAAATTACATAAATATAAAGGGGGGGGGGTAAATATTTCCAGGATTATTTAATTTAAATAAAGTATAAGGCTCCAATGAGCATACTCATATAATGCTTTTAATAACAGCAAATAGTCGGATACAGCAGGAGAAAGAATTTAAGCAAGCTGGGGACCAAGAAACATTCAGGAACAAACTGCCCAGTGTTTTTATTTAGACAAAAATATAATTTTTCTCTGGATAAAATGGCTAATATTTGTTCCAATATTTATTTGATGGAATTTGGTTTCAGGAGAGCTGAGGCAGAAGTTTCCTGCAGAGTCTGGTCATATGATGCCAACAGCCTGAATGAGCTTGTACTAGAATTCTGAGTATCAGATGAGAAGGCAGCCTGGTAAAGATGTTGGTTCCCGGCTTGTGAAACCGCAACTAAGGAAACAACTAAGCCATGCCCAGTTTCTGATCTAAGATAATATCAGATAATAAACATGCATTGTTTTAAGTTCCTAAACTCAAAATTTGTCATGAACCAACACATAACATGTACTATATACATTCAGGATTACATTTTTAGGCTTACAGGATACAATGAAGGAAGTCTACACTGAGTACTGCCATATCTCTTGGTTATTTTGTGTGCTTCTGGGACAATTTCTTGCCCTCTCCCTCTTGTTTTACATCTAACACTGAGATACTGATTCAACTAAATCCTTCCATGTGCATTAGCCCATTTCAAGCAAACAAACAAAAAACAGAGAACAACAGAAGAAAAATAAAATATCTTTCACCAAAAAAAAAAAAAATATTAGAAATCTCATGTCAGAAGAAAAAAAAAGACTTGGTAGAAACACCTTTATATAAAAGAAGTCTTTTCTACCCCAAGTCTACAAAGATATTTTCAGGATGAAGGAAAGCAGAATGCTGTTAAGAGTGGAAGGAAGAATATTAAAAGTGAAATGGGTCACAAAGTCATGAACTGAGTATGCCTAATATGACAGGACCAGGCTATGAGAGACACTGCCATGGGTGACTAGCATCCTCCATGCAAACCAGAACTTCCCATCATAATACTCTGAAATCATAATGGAGCTGAAGAAACTTCTGAACTATAACTGGGAGGCAACAGACATGTGTTTCTCTTAGTGAAGATACATTTTGACAGATTACTCTGAAATTAGTCATCATCCACCATTAACATCGCCTGGGTCCTCATGGCTCCTGCAACCACAACAAAAGTTTGTGAGTTCTCAGAAACAAAGGCATGCCGGGCTCTGCACACCTCATGGGTGATGACGCGGGACAAGTGATTTGAACCTACCCTTAGGTGTGGCTAAATGAAAACGGTTGACATTCATCCTGGACAGAGATTATAAAAATGGAACTTCCTTGGTTCATTATGGAGAAAATCCCTCTAAGCAGGAAAACAATCGAACAGAAGAAACAAAAAATCCCAGAGGAAATTGCCTCGTGGGAGGACAAGGACATGAGAGAGTTGGAACAGAAAACTGTTCATTTAATTATAAACTCATCTATACTCTTTTTAAATTGAACTTAAAATGTATTATTTTGAAATCACATGGCCAACAAAGCCAAACATTTCAAATATCCGCAAATGCTAATGTATGTTCTCTTAGTTCAAATTAAACATTTGAAAGATGTTAAAAATATATATTGTTATATATATGTATTTTTAAAATTATATTTGTTGAGACTGTTACAGATGTCACCATTTTCCCCCCATTGACACTACCCTGCTCCTGCCCCCATCCTAGGTTTTCCCCACACTACTGTCTGTGTCCACAGGCTATGCACATATGCATATAAGTTCTTTGGTTAATCTCTTCCCTCTCCCCCACCCTCTTTCCCTCTGAGATTCATCAGTTTGTTCTCTACTTTCATGTCTCTGGATCTATTTTGTTCATCAATTTATTTTGTTTATTGGATTCTACATATAGGTGAGATCGTATGATACTTGCCTTTCTCTGACTGGTTATTTCACTTAGCATAATACTTTCTAGGCCCCTCCGTAATGTCTCAAAGGGTAAGACAGTCTTCTTTTTTACAGATGCATAGTATTATATTTTGAGAAATAAAAAATAAAAGGTCGTTTCCTCCTCCTGGCTTCTTATGTATTAAAAATCAATTTGAATTCTTAATTATTTTCATTTAATTAAATATGAAACTAGTGCCCTGGTCAGTTTTTCTCAGTGGTTAGAGCCTCGGCTCACTGACCAAAGAGTTGCAGGTTTGATTCTGGCCAAAGGTATGTACCTCTGTTGCAGTTCGTCCTGCAGGAGGCAACCAATCGATGTTGCCTCCTCCCCCTCCCATTTTATCTGAAGATAAATGGAAAAATGTCCTTGGGTGAATATAAAAATATATATATATATATAAAACTAACAAATAAATAGATATGTCAGTATAAATTTCTAAAGATGTCTATGCAATAATTTACACACCCCCCCCCCCAAAAAAAAAAAGGAAATTGGAGTTTGAAATATGTGAGATTGTAAAACTCCCATCCAGGTCTCAGGAATTGGACCTCATTGTGTCCCCAGCCCTTCTAAGATATACCCAGAAATCCTTCTATTGAATAGGTTGCTCCCTCTTCTATAGAAGAGGAATTGTTCATATTTTCCATGTAACTTTTAGGAAATGGTTCTTGGGATTGATTAGAGATTAAGATCTTCAATGAACATGTGACTCTTTTACTGATTGATAAGCGTAAGGCAAAAAGAGTGAAGTAAAGAAATAGGTATTGCAAATGTATGTGATCAGGGCTTGGAGTTCTTTTTTTTTTTTTTTAATCCTCATCCGAGGACATTTTTCCATTGTACAGACAGAGTGGGAGGGAGAGAGAGGGAAACATCGACGTGAAAGGGACACATCGAGTGGCTGCCACCCGCACGACCAACCAGGGCTGGGGACAAACTGCAACCGAGGTACATGCCCTTAGCGGGAACCGAACCCGGGCCTCTCCGGACCGCAGGCGGACGCTCTAACCGCTGAGCCAAACCGGCCAGGGTGGGGCTTGGAGTTCTTTTACCCTTGCCAACTCTGAAAACGATCAAACAGGAAACACATATTTGACCAAAGATTTAAAATCGTCCTACAGAACTCAGAAGCATCAAGAGAAGATGCACAAATGTGTTCCCCTCTGAAGTTAGAGGATACACATGAGACAATGTCATATGTCCCTTTCAAGTCTACATTAAAGCACGTAGAAGTATAGATACCCAGAAAGGACTAACTTCCAGGAGCGTGAGATAAAGATGGGAATCCCCAGTTTAGCAATCCACACAAAGGTCTGAAATGAGGTTGATGTATTCTATACAAATTGTTTTATTTGAATTTATGTAGAATATATGCATGAAAATATATTATACTCAATATTGATCATATGCACTAAATCAAAATATTCATGAAATTATTTATCTTGATGCTTTATAATTTCAGGTATACATGCATAAATTTCATTAATTTTAATTTTTAATTAAAAAAATTTTTTTATCCTCACCCGAGGACATTTTTCCATTTTTTGTTCAGATAGAGTGGGGGGGGGGGCATCGACGTGAAAGGGACACATCGAGTTGTTGCCACTCATACGACCCAACCAGGGCCGGGGACAAACTGCAACTGAGGTACGTGCCCTTAGCAGGAACTGAACCCGGGTCTCTCTGGACCGCAGGCCAACACTCTAACCAATGAGCCAAACCAGCCGGGGCAAATTTCATTAATTTTTAAACGTGTTTTCAAATATATAAAAATGTTATGATAAAACATAATGTGAAACATTTTACAAATCCCATAAAGAGATAATTAATAATAATTTAAGAGGCAAACTTACCATTCTTAATAATACTGGACCTTCATTAATCACCCCTTCTGCCATAAGAAACACCTAAATAAGCTGTTGTTTACAGATATAATAATTTTTTTCTTTACAGGATTCATCCAAAATATTGTTGATTGTACTATATATTATGCAGTTCTTTGTATTTACATTTTCTGATAAAATAAATCTGTAAAGAAAAATAAAATGTTACCATACAAGAAAGTAAAATGAAAATGTTCAAGGCTGGTGTTTTTTATTAAATGGTGGAACTTTTTAAAGCATTTGAATGAGATATTAACATATTGAGTTATTGTATTATTTTATCAAATAGCTACAGGTTTTACAATTTCAAACACAATGTTACAAAAATTCAGCTATTGCCTCCAATAATCAATAGCAGTGAGTCCAGGATTTTTTTGTTGTTGTTCTTGCCATTGTCATTAATGGTTCTGGTATATATATGGTCAACTTTGCTTCTATTTTGTTTAAAGATGTATTTGCTAATTTAGTCTAGGGAAACAAATCAGAGCATAAAATGTGTCATTGTATGATGCTGCAAATACCATGTTTATGAATGGAAGTGAGAGTCTAAGATTACAAATATACAGAAAAAACGCTCAGAATATGTGAAACATGGGAGGAAGCTGAGAATGTTGGGTCTCACCAGAATAAAGGAAAGAAAGGCTATCCTGATTTCCCTGGACAACTTCTTTGTATGAGGGTAGCTTTTTATCTCTTAAGTTGTTATTAATTATCTGCTCATACAAGTGCTGGTACCAAGGCCAAAAGAAAAAGTCAAAACCTCTTTTGGTAACAAGTACAGTAACTACATGTCACTTGGCATATATTTGGATGTTTTAGATAGGCTAAAGTTGTTTCTCTCTTGTATCCATTCTCTTGTCTGTATTCTCCCGCTCCAGGCAGGCTATCTTAACTACAGTGCTCCTCGAATTTATTTTCTCTGAAATCTAAGGATAAACTCATAAAGAACAGAAAAGCCTTGACTGCCAGAAACTTACAGATCTTGAGAGAGAGCAGAGCCATCCTCCCACAACCAGGCACGATGGTTTTCATTGTAAGAGAGTCCAATCCAGTAAAAAGATTTACTGGACTTAATAAAATGCTGCTTGGAAACAGAGACAAACATATTAATCTAATTTGAATCTACTCAGCAAATAACGTACTTTCAAGAAAGTTTGTGTCCAGAGTCATATCCAGACTCTATATCACTCAAACAGAAATCATTTTTAATGTCTAGTTTAGGAGGTATAGTCACATGTCTCATAAATATGAACAATTTTCACCTTTAAGGCCCATTCATTTATGGAGAAAAAAATATCACAAATCTCAATTCTTGACTGAACAAAAAAGCATTATAAAGGGGTTAGCTTTTCCTGGAATACTTACTTCACAGGAGATCAACTATCAAATTTTATTCCAAGTCAAAAGTATACTGAGGTCCCGGCCGGTGTGGCTCAGTGGCTGAGTGTCACCCATGCACCAAGAGGTTCCCCGTTCGATTCCTGGTCAGGGCACGTGACCAGGTGGGCCTGATCCCCCAGTGGGGCGCCTGCAGGAGGCCACCAATCCATGTTCTCTCTCATTGATGTTTCTATCCCTCTTTTCCTCTCCCTCTCCCCCTCTCTAGTATCAATAAAGAAAAATAAATGTTTTAAAATATATTGAGGAATAATTTCTCAGATATAACCTTTTCGACCTGTATTCCTCATAGGCTCCTCATGCACCTGGAGAAATCTTTCACTTTTCTTAAGAGTTAGGTAACTATTATAATCATATTCTCCATATTCATTCCACTTTATATCCTAGGATAATGACAAGAGCTATATAATTACAAAAAATTATATATTCAATTAAAAAACTAGAAATTACAAAGTTGCTTAGTTGGTTCTTTGAATAAAATAATGACCTATTATTTCTTCTTGATTTTTCTCTGAAACACCTTTTGTACTTTATCTGGCATCTATCTTGATTTTTATTCCTATAATATAAATTTTTGAGAAATTTTGTTTTGGTTTTATAATGATTGTTTTAAGAAATAAAAATTCAGTAAGTCGTTATTAGTTCAAATATAACCATCCATTTATTATCTGAGAAAGACTTGAATCAAAGTCTATCTATTACTTAGATAATATTTTATCCTAAACCAAAGAAAATATAAGAAACCAAAATTAAATACATGCCAGTTCATCTCTGTTATGCAACTTAAGTATACTGGAATTCTGAGAAGCACAGAAATCCCTACTTTCTGCCCAAGTTTTTTTTTCACTGGAAATGAAGTAACAGTTGCATTTGTGTCCAATCCACTTTTCTTGGCAAGAACAGCAGCCAGAGCCTAAAAGAAAAAATAAAACTTGACTGATGACACTGGAGATTTACTTTGTTTAAGTGCTATTTACTCACTCAAAAATCATTTGTTATTTTTTCTGACAAATATTCTTTGAGTCTGCTTCTTACACCAAACTTCAAAGGATAGACATGTAAATGAATCATGGACATTATATTCTAGAGATAGCATCAGCATTATATAATTTTAAATCACTTCTTAATTATATTTAAGGCTAGTTTGGGCAAATATACATAAGAAATTCAGTATGTTAAAACATCCTATAGCAGAGTGTAGAAAGTGACCCGAAGTTGAGCACTGCTCTCTAAATAGTAGTAAATTAGATGGAAGAGATATTTAAGGTTGAGAAAGATATTTTAGCATGTTTTCCAAGTCAGAAGTAAATATGGTACATTGGGAGAATTATGATATATATTTTAGATATTTTATTTTCAAAATAAAGATAAATAAAACAAGTAGCTTGAAATCCAATCATAGAGTTAACCAGTAATAGTGCCTTGAACATTTTAGCCTCAGAGATAGGAGTAATGACACATGATATGTGCTCAAATCTTTGCCAAGTGAATGGTGCTCAAGTTATAGAGTATAATGTTTGTTACAGGGGGTGGGAAGTGGGGGAAATGGAGAGAAGTTGGGTACAAACCTCCAGTTAGAAGAGGGTCTACTGCTTAACATTTTGATTATAGTTAACAATACTGTCTTATATACTTGTAAGTTGCTAAAGGGTAGATGTTAAATGCTCTCAGGACAAAAAATAATGTAATTACATGACATGATGCAGGTGTTAGCTAGTGCTGCAGTGGTCATATTGCAATATATAAGTGTATCAAATCAACACATTGTACACCTTAAACTTACACTATGTTATACATCAATTATATCGCAATAAAGCTGGAAAATACCTCAAGAAGAAAAATATGTATAAAGTGTTATATGATCATAGAAGGTGATGGGACAATTTGGAGAGAATAATTTTAAAAATTGGCCTCAGAGCTGGCTTACAATGGAAAAATAGCGTCAGATTTGTAGAAATCTCTGCACTACATTCTGAGTCATGCAAGAAATAGAAGCAAAGTTAAAGAATATATAAGAGTTATGAGCAAATAAAGGTAAGTATTTAAGATTAGTTGTGATATGTACTATAATTTATTTTTGATTTGTTACTTAAACATGAACACTCTTATGAGAAAGACATATGTCATTTCAGGCTAATATTTTCCTTATTACTTAAATATATAAACGATGTACATTCAATGTAATTTAATAAGTCTTGCATTAGAGAGTAAAGAAATGACACTATCCTACAGCTAGTACGTAAACTTGTATTTCATTAAGTGTAGCATTCCATTACACTTCTGTGTGAGAAAAACAACAAACTATTTTATGTTCTACCAAAATGAACATTTTTCAAATTATGGAACCTACCTTCCTGGGGTTCAACGGTGGGTCCTGGAGATGATGTTGACTGAATACTTTGTTTCATGAATGCTATAAGAAATTATTAGAAATTTACTTAATGAGATACAGATTTGTGAAATAACACAATATTACACAGTAAAATGAAATCTTTATTATTAAATAGTTTCATATTAAATGGTTTCATCACAGTCTTAATCTTTATATAAACTTGCCTAGAAAAACTAAAGTTTATTTTTTTTTGTTTTGTTAATTCTCACCCAAGGATATTTTTTCCATTGATTTTTAGAGAGAGTGGAAGGGAGGGAGGGAGAGAAACATTGATGTGAGAGACACATTGATTGGTTACCTCCCAAACGCTCCCCAATCAGGGATCGAACTTGGAACCCAGGGACATGCCTTTGACCAGGAATCAAACCCAGGACCCTTCGATATGCAGGCCGATGCTCTAACCACTGACCCACACCAGGCAGGGCAAAAACTTACTATTTTTTAACAAAATTCCCAAAGTAGCCATCAACACAAGGCATGTTACTCCTAAGATCCCAGAAATCAACCTCCATGGAGTGGTTTGAAAAGCTGTAGAGAAACAGAAGTAGAGGGATGAATGAACTAACAAACACAGAAGCTGAAGTTCTTACAAACAGAAACCAGGGAGAGAGAACTGAAAAATGTCTTCAGTTTCATAATCCGACTATCTTGCCAATGATACATTGGAAAATGAAGACATTCCATTCAGCATTCCACCCGATACTAAACATTTTATGTGATGTAATTGCTTCTTTGATAAGATTATCCATATTTTTTCGTTTTACAAGCTCTGTCTCAGAAAGTGGATTTAACACTTATTTTTAAGTTGGCAAAGAAGCTCAGAGATCTAGAGTACGAAGAGATAAATAAGCACCAAGCTCTGTTTTATGGGCTTACATAACAGACATTAACTTTAATTTTCTCAAAAACAATTCACAAGATGGTATGATTCCCATTAGGTAGATGAGAAAATTTAGAATTTATTATTAGTGTTATTTTCTCAAGGAATCAAAGCTAGTAAGTACCCAAGTCAGAAATCAAATGAAAGTTTGTCTAGGACCAGAGTATTTATTAACATATTCTATCACTGTCACAATGCTACTCCTTGGGAGTGTGTCCTTTGGGACTTCTCTGAGAAAGGTCAGGAGCTTCCAGATTTGTAGAGATTTTATGAGAAGAAAAGATATAGGAGTATCTGGACCAACACTTGGGCAATACTTGGGATCTGGATTCATTTCACAGTACATTGAATTATGATACACAAGCAACCGATTTTTAGAAGAACATTACATTTCCTAATACCTCATATTACTTGATTATAGCCATTTCCTCTAAAACAATTCAATTTAGGAGATTCTGCATTAACATTAGCACACTTCCAAAAAGTGTTATCATTAACAACAGTCCAATGTGTCAAAATCTTAATCTGGGGGGTGTTTGGATATCACAACACAAATGCTACATTTTTAAAAAGCACTTGTAAGCATCAGTTCTTAAACATTTGTCATTCTCTAGTTTTTCTGTACTAGGATTACGTTGCTCATAATTTAACCTGGTAAATTTAGCTCTTATTTGTAATTTAGAGTTTTCCCTGTCAGCTACTTTTTAGACCTGTTAGAAAAGCTTCACGAAATCATTTCTAAGTTACAGAATGAAGAATTAGAGAAACAAAATTAAGTGAAAAAGTCTGATACATGGAATGCCTAAAATTTTCCGTGCTTTTTCTTAAAGCATGCCCTGAAATGATCTATATCCACAAGATACCTTTTCTGCTTATATTTATTTTTAAATGCGTGACTCGGGCCAACGTACCTGACATGAGAAATGCTGTTGCAGTGTAGACACAGATAAGTCACGATGTTTGTTTAGGAAGACGGGTGTTGGATCACAGAACTGAGCTGGAGCCTAAGAATCTGAAAGTTGTATGTGAAGAAATTCAAAAGGAAAAGGAAAAGGAAAGAAAAATTGTGTATTTAAGTGATAGTCTTGATGTTCCGGAAACCACAATACAGGAAATTCTCACTACACTTGTATAACGCAAATTCTTTGCTCAGGGGAAAAAAAAAAAGGTGAAAGGTACTTTTAATGTGTGAACAGGGATCACAGTTAAAAATTATTTGAAAAAAAAAAAAGTTGGACAAACCAAAGGTAAATTTACTTAGCATAATAAAGTTTTACAATAATATTTCTCTTTTAATAATGAGAAATATTTATGATTTACCTGTGTCAAACACAAATTAAAGCACTTGGCATATATTTGCACATTTATTTCTGAATATTGCTTAATACTAAAGATACATAAATATACTCATTTTTCTGATGAGAAAACTAAGGCTGAGCTAAATACTTGACCAAGGTCACTAAGCTTGAGACCCAGGCTGTCTCTCTCCAGAACTCAGACCTATTCCTCTGTATCTATGTTTTGTGATGTTGATTTCATTAGCACAGAGTGGTTGATACTGCCATCTTTCATTGTGTGTTTCTGATCCCTGCCTCATTAACCCCGTTATGGAAGGTGAAAGTAAAAAAGGTAGAATCAGAGTGATTTCCCCTTACTCTTCCATGTACATACTCACACACACACACACACACACACACACACCTACCTGTGCTCCACACCTGCCTCAGTTGGTCTAAGCCCACCCTTCAGCACCTCTGTGAGGTGAGCCTTAAAGCTTCTTTCAATATTTAACTCTCCATTGTTCAATTCCTTTCACGTCCTTTGAATTACAGCTTCTCTATTACCCTTATTTGTACTAATATTTAAGTACTACATTTTTACTATTTTATCTTACACAGATAGTATACTGATAGTTCAGTTTACAAGCTTTTGTCTTCAGAAGAATAACCTTATTAGTGGGAAATTGAAATGTGGGACAGATGGGTGAATAAGAAGCTTCAGAGTAGAGACCTCGATCTATAATTATCTGGAAATAAAATCTACCATTCACCTCCATACAAAGCAGACTCTCAAATAAGTTTTTGGTTGTTAATATTTATTTTCAAGCAGTATAATATTACCATAGATGAAACTTGCTGTGAAAGATGAGCTATTCAACAGCAACAAAAAAAATAAATAAAGACAACAACCATAAAAAAGGAATGTGGTTTTATTTTTCACCTTCCATGAGTTAAATCTCCTGTCTGTCTCATCTGTATTGTGTGAATACAGCTGCCTTCACTGAACCACGGAAATGGCTAAAATCTAAATTCTTGCCTGAGATCGTAAACATGAAAATTCTTCATCCACATTTTATGCAAATCCAAGTTGAGAAAGCTCATTTATAAATGACCCTTTGTCTACTTGAAGTCTATTCATTTTTACTTTTTTTTATTTTTTAATTAAATTATGTCAGTTGTGTAATAAAATTCTGTGGATTTCAAGAGTACAATTCTATAATACTTCATCTGTATATCACATTGTGTGTTTACCACCCGAAGTCAAATCTTTTGTCACCATATATTTGACCCCTCACCCTCTTCCATTGTGGTAACCACCTTCTATTGTTTATGTCTATGAGTTTTTGTTTATTTGTGGTCTTTTTTGTTAATCCTCACTCAAAAATATTTTTCCATTGATTTTTTTTTAGACAGACTGGAAGGGAGGGAGGGAGAGAAAGAGAGAAACATTGATGTGAGAGAGACACATAGATTGGTTGCCTCCTGCACCACACAGACCGGGGTCAGGGATCAAACCCGCAACCCAGGTATGTGCTCTTGACTGGGAATCAAACCTGAGACACTTCAGTCTGAGGGCCAATGCTCGTTTAACCACTGAGCAACCAACCAGGGCTATTTGTTTTTGTTGTTGTTGTTGTTTTGTGGTACGTGCCCCTAGTGGGAACCGAACCCCGGACTCTCTGGTCCGCAGCCCGATGCTTAACCACTGAGCCTAACTGGCTAGGGCTGTTTGTTTTTTTCATTTGTTGCTTTCAATTTTATCCCACATATGAGTGAAATCATATGGTTCCTGACTTTTTCTGACTTATTTCACTTAGCCCGCTGTTCTCAAAATCCATCTATCTTGTCACAAATAGCAGTATTTCATCATTTATGGCTGACTAGCATTCTATTTTATATATGTACCACATTTTTTCCATCCAGTCATCTATTAAGAGACAATTTGGTTGTCTCCATGTCTTGGCCCACTGTTAATATTGCTGTAACAAACACAGAGGTGCACATATCTTTGTGAATAAATGTTTGCCAATTGTGAGAGTAGATACTCAGAAGAGGGTCTGAGTATCTTCTGGGTCATATGGTAACTCTAGTTTTAATTTTTTTAGGAAACTTCATACTGTGTCCCATGGTGGATGTACCAGTTTACATTCCCACCAGCAGTGAATGAAGTTCCTTTTTCTTCACAACCTCTCTGACACTTGTCATTACTTGTCTTAGGCATTCTAACAGATGTGAGGTCATATCACATTGTGGTTTTGATTTACAGTTCCCTAATAGCTAGTGAAGTTAAGGATATTTTCATATATCCTTTGGCCATTTTGTATGTCTTCTTGGGGGGAAGTGTTTTTTTCAGGTCCTCTGCCCATTTTTTAATTGGGTTATTTATTTTTTGTTGAGTTGTATATGTTCTTTATATATTTTGGATATTAACCCCTAGTCAGAGCTATTGTTTGCAAATATCTTCTCCCATTCACTTGGTTGCATTTTTGTTTTGTTGACAATTTCTTTTCCTGTGCAAAAGATTTTTAGTTTGATATAGTCCCATTTATTTATTTGTGCTTTGACTTCCATTATCTTTAGGATCAAATTTATATTTTTAATTTTACTTTTGCACAAAGCTGAGCTAACCAAACCTACATAAGTTTGTTCATTTTTTGTTGGCCCATGTAAATAAAATCACTAAATCTAATTAGAAGTTTAAGATTTTACTTTCAGCTTTAGTTTTGAGATGATACAAACTAGTGGCAGAATATGCAGTAAATACCATTACTATGTTTCCCACATTCACAGGACCACCTTCATTTGGAAGTTAGGCTCTAAGTTTCCAGAAACATGCTTGCTGAAACTTATATCAATCATTGTTTGTTTGTTTGTTTGTTAATCTTTTAATCTTAGTTCACTGACACAGAAGTAAAAATCCATCAAAGATATGTTCAAGTCAAGAACTCTAGGCTCAAGTCATAAATAACTGAACATACAAAACATTACACTCACACATAAATGATGTATGTATATTTCAACTCCTCTTCCTTCATTCTTTCTCAACTGTGAAGCAGGTTGGCTCTGGCCGGTTTGGCTCAGCGGTTAGAGCTTCGGCCTGCAGACCAGAGAGTCCCAGGTTCAGTTACTGCTAAGGGCACGTACCTCAGTTGCAGTTTGTCCCTGGCCCCGGTTGGATCATGAGGGTGGCGAGCAGTCAGTGTGTCTCTCTCACATTGATGTTTCTCTCTCTCTCTCTCTCCCCGCCCCTCCCGCTCTATCTGAAGATAAATGCAAAAATGTCCTTGGGTGAGGATAAAAAAACAAAGAACTGTGAAGCAGGTTGATTCTTTGATTCCTTCTTGTACATAGGAAGTTGAATTTTTCATGCCAGTGTCCCCATCATTTATCTCCACTTGGAGCACAGGTTGTCATTGCCACACCCATATCCCTTGGGATATTTGGCGACCTCTGGCCAACCAGTATCTGCAAGTCTTTAGATGCAGACTTTTTTCTGCCAGTATTGCTCAAAATCTTGCTAATGTCACACATGGTGTGCTAGCAATAGTCACCTGGATAGGTATCAACCAACAAATCTCAGGATTTCGTGCAATCCAGTAACCTCAGGCCTAATATGAGGAAATTCTGAACATTGAGTTTTGTCACATTTCCCAGAATCACTCAACAGTGCTAACTCCCAGCCTCCTCTTCTAGTAGCTACATTCAGAGAACAACTTTTATTGTGTTTTGCCTGCCCTTTCCTGTATTGTACTAACATTCCATTTTGTAAACATTATTGTTATTATTTTATATCCTCACCTGAGGACATTTTTTTGTTCAGATAGAGTGGGAGGGAGAGAGAGGAAGAGAGGGAGCAAGCGAGAAACATCGACGTGAAAGGGACACATCGAGTGGCTGCCACCCGCACCACCAACCAGGGCCAGGCAACCGAGGTACACGCCCTTAGCGGGAACCGAACCCGGCTCTCTCTGGACCACAGGCCAATGCTCTAACTGCTGAGCCAAACTGGCCAGAGCTTGCCTTTTTTTTTTAACATCTCTGTGCCTAGAGCCTTCTTCTCCCACCAGATGTGCAGAAAGTTTTGCTGTTCTCACACCAAGAAATTGAAAGACTTGATATATAAATATCCCAGCTCTTCTTGACTCTTAAATAAGCAGGGACTTGGGGGATAAATGCTTGAAAAAAAGAAATGGGTGAAAAGATGTTTGCTCTCCCTAATACTATAAAAAAAACTTCCATGATATGAGGGAAAGCAGAACGAGTTGATAGTGGAGGAATGTAGAAAGATAAAAAGATGTCACAAGGGCAGCACTGATGCTGCGATAGGAAGGAAACATGCCATGGGAAGAAGGAATGCATTGAGTAGTGACACTCATGTATCACACAAGTCAGCACTTCACACTCTCAGTATCTGGAATCACTATGGGACTTGATTAAACTTGCAAAGACAACTCTATTTTCTTATTATCCGCAGTAGATAATTTTCCTTTGAAACAGATAGAGGCTATATCTTATTGAATACCACCAGACACTTCTGTTTCTTGCCATATCCAATAATGTGTGTAAGTCTCTAACAACACCAACAATAATGATAGATTAATTAAAAACTAAGATGCAACCCTAATGGTCAGATAAAAAAGAATATTTCTGAACCTTATTTGGTTAGACAAAAAAAGCCAAGATTCATCATTGGCTGGAAAGGAATAAAGCACCTCTCTGTACTTTTACAGAGATGGCTGATAAAAGT